GCCACAGTGATCGTAGCCCTGCTTATACACCTCGACGGTTTTTAATTTAATCAGCACCGAAGAAACCTGCTGCAACTTGCCGCACTTTCGTTTAACGAATGTACATAAACGTTATCACGTAATCTAATTACCGTAAGATATTTTTAAAGGTAAACATTTTTTATCTTCAATTATTCCGTCGAATCTCCGCCGTGTAAATTTACGTTAATTTCGTTTTAAGCGTAAGATATAAGTGTAAGCAGTCGTTTTGTAAAGTTCCAAGTTTTCTGTTACCTTGCCTTCGATTGATCGCGCGACGTAAAAGGAGAGAAACGGATGGATGGTACGCAGATGTAAGTTATTGACCGTTGCATCGAACAATTGTTGATAATAATCAGTCGACTACACTGTAGTATGTGTATGAAACATAAAGAGTGTTCCAAAACTAATGTATGATATTGAAATGCGAGGTTCCTGACGTGATTTTAAACAACATTTTCCTTAGTAAAAAAGTAAAAAGTTGTCCGAGGTGTGATTAAGTAGTTATTAACAAGAAACTTGGACCAATCAGAGCGCTCGGTTGGCGCGAGCTGCGAATAAGTAGCGTTGGCTCGAATCCGAACGTCCAACCGCTCCGCTGAATAAGAAGCGTTTTAAGAAAATGACGAATAATAAACTACATGAATAACAATGCAAGGAAATTAACAACAATTAATATATTTAATCGTTATTCAAATGGAATGGATGGGGAAATGATACATTGTTGATAGATCGGGCGTCCGAATCCGAGCCAACGCTCCCGATTCGGCGCTCGCGCCAATCGAGCGCCCTGATTGGTCGGGGTTTTTCATTAATAACTCCTCAACCACGCCTTGGGCAACTTTTTCGCTAAGGGAAATGTTGTTTAAAATTACGTCAGGAACCTCCCATTTCAATATCTTACACTAGTTTTGGACACCCTGTATAGTATTATGTTACACACGTTTAATGTAGCCACTGGCCTAGGTTCGCGACAACGAGGATCACGTCGAACAAATTTGCACCGAAGGTTCGTCGCTACATTAAAGAAGAAGCACTTTAATCCTCAAGCTTTACGCCTAATAGATACCAAATCTTTAAGTACTAGTAAGACGGATAAAAATTTCTCTCTCTCTCTATATATATATAAATATATGCAGTATATCTTTCTCTATTTCTTTTTTGCAGCATAAAGAAACATGTTACCTGTATTAACGTAGAAATAAAATAACACCATTGTATGTGACGACTCGGGGCTGTCGGTAGAGAATTGAAAAATCAAATTCCCATAAAATGAATCGAATATATTTGGGAGAGTGTAATAACTATATTTTCCAATACACTGTTTAGGATCGTGTGAACCTAGTAATAGTTTCTAGATGCTCGTACTAAAAACCAATTCACATTGTCCGTCGGGTCCTTGGAGCATATACTACTGGAGGCAGCTTCTAAATGTATCTAATAAAGTGTAGAGAAGCCGTAGAAATTGACGGACGTGCTGTCCTTTTCTCGCAGCTGCCTTTCTCCTTCAACTTGCTTTGAATTTCAGAAACTTTACTCACAAGTATGGTGACCTTCTTGTATTTTACAATTTTGGCATGCAATTAGGCATGTTTTATAAGCATTAATAATGACAAACCGGGATATTATTTAACCATATAACTATATTTGTCAGTAAGGGAATTGAAATTCGAGTTGAAGGAGAAAGATTATGATCAATCCCATGCTGTGAGATGAGGACAGTATGTCTGTCAATTATACCTCTTTCTTTCTACAGCTTTTTTACATTTTAGACACATATGGGCCGGTATTTACAGTCGTTGCTTAGTGTCAAGACCCTCTTAAGTATTTGCTTAAGTCGCTTTGGGCAAATAAGCAAATGTTTGAGGTGACGTCTTATTTGCTTGGCTAAACAATTAAACAGTCTGGAGGTCTGAAGCTGCCTCCAGTAGTGTATGCTCTAAGGTCGGGTCAATCACGTTCAAATTGAACTGTACAGTGAGTATATATATTAAACGCGGGCGAGCGGAGCATGTTCTGCGCTGTGCGAGTCTTTAAATGGGCAACTTCCATAGTAATTCGAATTCGCAAATAAAAAGCATTATTAATACTCTTAGAAGAAAGCTATATCTTTCTTATTCTGTCAAATTCGTTGCATTTCTTTGACGAAAAATGACACACAAATTACGAACTATGGCAGGCCGCAATTTTTTTTCCTTTGTGAATATTATGTGCACTATTTATAAATACGTACGAATAATACAATGGAAACAAACCGATAAACGTCTATGCATTCTGTATTTATTTCTTCTATAGTACGACAGAAAGTTGTGGCAACACGACATTTGTGTCGAAAATTGGTCAAGCTTAGAAGACTTAGAAGTTTGATAGACTGCGAATTCATAAAATTCGTTTTTCAGATATTTCTAGATTTTAAGGAATTGAAATACGATTTTCCATACTTTTGGGATTTTTTTTAATTCTAGTGGATGGAAATTGATAAACACTTTCAAAAGTGTACGGGTTGTATTTATGAGATTTTTCCAAATTTTCTTATCCACAATTTATATTAAATAAAAATTAATAACATTTGCAAATTTTCAGATATTGTCAAATTTGGAGGAATATTCTTTATAATGATCTTTGATATTTTTAGAATTATTTTCTCTCCGATTATCGTGGATGGAAATTGATGAAAAAATTTAGAAACGTACTGCTATACGAATGGTACGTGTGAGAAATTTTTCAGGAAGATGATTAATAAACAGGAGATTGTTATTAAAAATCAAACGTACGTGACATAAATTTTGGGATTGAAATCTAGATAGGAACATGTTTAATCCTTTAAAAATAGTAACATGTATTTTAAAATTGTAATGTAGATACATTTGTATTGTATTGTAGATACAATTTTCTATGTTTTCTACACATCGAACATTTGCTGTAAATACATAAAAGTCCGTAGTTTAATGATTACTCATTAACAAATTATCATAGGACGATGATTTTTCTTCTAAATTAAACTTAAAACATGTACTATAAAATGCTATCCAGAGATTTTCAATTTAAATCTCGACACAAATTTCGTGATGCCATAAATTTTGTCAGTAGTATATTTTGCATATCATCGTTTATCCCTCCTAACTTTATTCAATTTTCAGTTGGAAAAAGAATGTATCAGCAGCTACATCAACGTACACTACCAGGCGCTTAAGTCAATTATTATCATTGTTTGATTTAACATGATACGCAGCTTTATTATAGACATTCTGTAGAATTTTCCCTCGTGTATCAAAATCGGTGAATATGGAAGAACAGAAGATGGGTCGTTTTTTCTCCAACCTTCCTTGTCTCGAATTCTTATACCCAGATTCGGACGTTCTGATCCCAAGAACAAGTGGCGACGGCCATCCCGTTTCCAGAGACGCTCAGCGATGTTACTCGATTCTCGTGGCCGTGTAGAGAACCTTCAAGGTAAAATCAATTAATCATCTTTACTTGAACAATCATTAGTAGATTGCGGATTTTTATGCAAAATAAAATATTTATGGTAGCAATTTAAAGAACTTCCTTATGT